AGCTTGCATATGTTGTATACACGTTCAAGCCCAGTCACAAAACACTCAATCGAAGACACCTGCCAAACTGCACGCCAAACCGACCTCTGGGCCATTTTTGCAAGGTACATCGAAGAGAGGGCATCATGCCCCCTGAGGATCACACTGGAGGGTGACGGAAGCGTCTGCGTGTCGCTGGGACGGTGCCCATGTCGAACAAGGCCAGACCCTGAACGGGTGGCCCGGGGAACGGCGACGATTGGCTGGACATTCGGTAAGCGGCACCTCGCTGTCTTCGTCTCATTTTGTCGGTCTCCCTTCTGCCATCATTCTGCCCAACCAAAAAGACGGTGGCTTTACCGGTCGCCGTCAAGCCATTGTCTGGCGCGTTCCGGTCGAGTCGAGTCCACGGCGAGCACCGGTTCACGGCAAACCGCAAACGGCCATGGACTGATGTGTTGGCTGAAGGACATCACGATGGGAGTTGGAAATCCGTCAGTCACGGATCTCACATACGGTGGGGCGGGAGGCAGCTCCTGCTTACACAGTCATGAGTTCACGACCGTATGTTGTCCTGGAGAAAAGGATGTTGTTCTGGACGAGAGTCACGCGGAGGAATCTCCTCCTCTCAAGCCCTCAGCCCGGTCGTCTTCTGGAAGGCGTGAAGAACGGCCGAGGCAGCTCAGGCGCGGCTAATCCCCACATCGGGAGACCATCATACCGCGCCAACCCGCGATGGCAATTCGTGGTTCAGCCTCCATCCGACTTGCGATTAGTTGTCAATCTGACGAGCAAGACTCGTCCGAAGCTTGATATCGATGGATTGCACCATTACGGCGCCACTGAGCCTGTCTTCTTTGGCACTCCTGATTGCTGTGAAGGAGCCGGGCGAGTTCACAGTGGAAGACGACGACGGGGTTGTCAAATGGGGTCGCGTCAGTCATGGGAGGCCCCTGCTCGCTAGTTTTGTCGTCGACAGGGGTGGGCGGGCAGCAAGAGGAGGTTAACGGACGTTCTGGGTGGTGGTGGTGGTGAGGCGCTGATCGACAGCGGACGAGGCTCATGGCCAACTGGCGGCCGAGTAGCTATGGCCACTGCCGGGTCTTGGTCGATCAACCGTATGAACGAAGACTGCCATTGCAACGCCTTTGATACCTCCCAGAAGAGGTTACCAAGTCCAGCCGGCGTGCCAGTTTTTGGCGCATTCCAGCACAGCCAAAGTTAGCTCATCTTTTACAATCTACAGATACAGAGATCTCTGTCTTTTGGCGAGATGAGGTTGGGCGACCCTGGGAAAACCCACAGGAGCTCAGCGTGTCGCTGCTTGGGTGCTTGGGTATGAGTGGGAGAGGTGGGGAGAGCACAGACAAGCAGCTGCAGGGCATCCCAACTTCCAAGGGGTGGGCAGGACGGATTTGGGGTCACTCACGCCAATGAGCTTGGCTCTCTGACCGGTACGGAGTTCTCTTGCTGCTGTCTACTGCGTGGGAAATGGGAAGAGGGGGGGCCGGACGACGGTTTCACCATGTGCTATGCTGCCATGTGCATCTGGCGTTTGCCTGCACGAACAGCCTTGGATGGCTTTGGATTTCCCTCTCTTCGTGGTGCGAATAGACATGTTTACCGCCACAACTGTCATCGTACAAGAGGGCAGAGGAAGGGAAGGAAAGTTCAAGGGGCCTTGACAGTGTTGCTGGGTACCGACCATTGCCCTTCGTTTCTGGCGCAAGGTGCTGGCCAGTTTGGCTGCGTCTACTTCGCAGTACGAGTGGGTGCTGTCAAGGAGGCCCCTGGGATCTGCAGACATGGGGCGGGGGGGCCCAATTCCGTATCTGTCGTGCTCAACGCCAGAATAACAAGGGTGTCGTCGACTTTGCCGCCGCAGTAAAGCAAAAGGCACCTGGGCCCTTTTTCCTTTCTGCTTGTCCTTGGGTGGCACCAAGGGGGATTACGGCTCTGCTGTCAGTGGAGTGCTAGAGAGAGAACCCCACGGGAGAATCTTAATGAGAGGGGGAGAAGAGGAGGAGGAAGAGCTTTGCATATCCGTGCAGGTATGTAAGTTGGCAGGTGTCGTGTGCCTTTTTCTTCGGTCGTCTTGCTCGTCATCTTGCTGCGACGACGTCCAATCCAACATCAGCATAGAGGAGGGGTGCCTCTTTGGCGCGTCGGTCAATCATCTAGTGTTGATCGATGCTGACCTTGCCTGCCCGAAGGTTCGGTCCCCTACTCGTACACCTTGCCTTCCGAAGTGCTCTCTCTGCCTTGGCTTGAAGCGCCTTAGCTCAGCTCGAGTACCGATACACGATGAAGCCGCTGAGGGAGGGCACCCGCGGCATGTCGGGTACGTACCTGCACCTTACCATGCCAGGTTGTTAGGACGGATAATTAATTCTTTGGTCTCCAAGCAGCGCGAGAGCCGGTGCAATGGTGGACAGTGGACGCTCCACTCACTCTGCTCGTTTTTGGCAGGTGAAGAAGAGCATCCCAGCTTCGGTGCCGGATCAACATCGGCATGTCTTTGACGACATGCGATAACGATACGCAGAGCAAGCTTCCCCCCTCGTGACCACATAGCTTCCATCGCATAAACACCCGAAAAGAAGGATAGACGACGGGGCAACTTCTAATCGAATTCCTGTCTCTGGAAACCAACGTCTCCCCTCTCGCGTTGCAACCCTAAATGCTATCGGTCACAACCTTTTTGTGCCGAAGCATCATCATCAAACCAAACACCAACCCCGCCATCGCCGCCGTCACCCTCCTCCGACCCCTCCAGACCAGAGCTCGATTCTCGACGACAACCCGCACAATGGCTCCCCCTCGACGTGCCCTCGACTTTGTCGACTTTGTCAACGCCTCCCCCACCCGTGAGTTTCCCAATCCTCAATTACCAGCCAGCTGCAACAGCAAGAAGCTAACCCTGTACCTCCAACAGCCTACCACGCCTGCGCGACCGCCGCCGCCCGCCTCGAAAAGGCCGGCTTCACAAAGATCAAGGAGCGCGACTCCTGGAACTCGTCCCTCCGACCCGGCGGCAAATACTACCTCACCCGCAATGGCTCCTCCATCGTCGCCTTCGCCATCGGCAAGAAGTGGAAGCCCGGCAACCCCGTCGCCATGATCGGCGCCCACACCGACTCCCCCTGCCTGCGCATCAAGCCCGTCTCCAAGAAGAACAACGTCGGCTTCCTCCAGGTCGGCGTCGAGACCTACGGCGGCGGCATCTGGCACAGCTGGTTCGACCGCGACCTGTCCATCGCCGGCCGCGTCCTCGTCAAGGACAAGGACGGCAACTTCGTCCAGAAGCTGATCAAGGTCGACAAGCCCCTCCTCCGCATCCCCACCCTCGCCATCCACCTCGACCGCTCCTCCAACTTCGACCCCAACAAGGAGAGCGAGCTCTTCCCCATCGCCGGCCTCGCCACCGCAGAGCTCAACAAGGGCGTCACCACCACCACCACTGACGACTCCGAGGAGGACTTCAAGCCCCTCAAGGCCATGACGGAGCGTCACCACCCGCACATCCTCGACGTCATCGCCTCCCACGCAGAGGTCGACACCGACGCCGTCGTCGACTTCGAGCTCGTCCTCTACGACGTCCAGAAGTCCTGCCTCGGCGGCCTCAACGACGAGTTCATCTTCTCCGCCCGCCTCGACAACCTCAACATGACATACTGCTCCGTCGAGGGCCTCATCGCCTCCGTCCGCGACGACGCCATCCTCGACAACGACTCCACCATCCGCCTCGTCACCTGCTTCGACCACGAGGAGATCGGCTCCACCTCCGCCCACGGCGCCAACTCCAACCTCCTCCCCGCCGTCCTCCGCCGCCTCGCCTCCCTCCCCGGCTCGCGCGACACCGCCTCCGACGGCTCCTACGCCGTCGTCCACGACGGCGACTACGAGTCCACCGCCTACGAACAGACTCTCTCCCGCTCTTTCCTCGTCTCCGCCGACATGGCCCACTCCGTCCACCCCAACTACGCCGGCAAGTACGAGTCCTCCCACCAGCCCGCCATGAACGGCGGCACCGTCATCAAGGTCAACGCCAACCAGCGCTACGCGACCAACTCCCCGGGAATCGTCCTCCTCCAGGAGTGCGCCCGCCTCGCCGCCGTGCCCCTGCAGCTCTTCGTCGTCCGCAACGACTCCCCCTGCGGCTCCACCATCGGCCCCATGCTCAGCGCCAAGCTCGGCGTCCGCACCCTCGACCTCGGCAACCCCCAGCTCAGCATGCACTCCATCCGCGAGACCGGCGGCAGCGCCGACGTCGAGCACGCCGTCAAGCTCTTCGAGAGCTTCTACGAGCGCTTCGGCGAGCTCGAGGAGAAGATCCTCGTCGATTAGGCGGCCCGGCGCGCTGTTGGTGAGTGAGTGTGTGTGGGGGCGCGTTGGCGTGTGTATGTTTGATGTATCTTCAATATAGCGGCGTTGTGGGCGGTGGGGTGGTTGTGGTGTTGAGCATGTCGGGAATATGCAAATCGATTTTGAAGCGCTTCAAGTTTGCTCCGTCTCGTTTGGTCGTGCTACGTGAAAACTGCCTTGGTTGACCGCATTGGCTACGCGATGTTCCGTTTCTGCAACCGTTTTATCCGTACGTGGAAACTGATGACCAGTCTGAATGAATGAATGTTCTGCTCCGTCAGTGTGATCATCATGTGCGTGCAGGCGACTTATCAAGAAGCAAAACATATCATCCGCCATTGACATGGTCCAATGCGCTGTCAGGATGGCTTTTCGATTGCTATCTGCCCTGTTTTCTGGTCTCTTCGATTCCAGCTTGCGAATATCGGGTCACCAGCCCTCGTAGATCACTGCCCGGCGGCGGATAGGCCACCGTGTTGTCCTCGATGATCCTCGGGATCAACAGAAAGAAGACGGCATGGGGGATTCGAGGGGTTCCAGGCCATCACGCTGTAATGTATTTCCGTACGCTACTCGCTATGACTATTTGCACGCAGATACGCTCTTAACAACACCCCATCCGACTCGCCTGGTGCCAGTGAGACCAAGAGCCGTATTCATTCCTTTTTGTATCTCTTGTCAAACTCTTTCCACATGTTTTCGATCCTAGCGTCCATTTTCTTCTGGAAGTTCTCTAGCACGCGCTTGATTTCGGCAGCACTGCCCTCGTTGTTCGGCGTACTCGATACGGGCTCATTACCAGCTGCCAAAGTGCTCGAGCCGGTATTCTGCAACTCGCTTTCTCTTCGCAGCCTCCTCATGATCTTCTTCAGCTCCTTTTCCGTTACTCGCTGGTTTGTCATGTTGAAGAGACCGATTCTCCTGTAACCTTCCGCTTCCCAGAATGTGTACAACACTTTGGCTGATCCGTCCGCGGGTGGCTCGAACGGCATGTCCTCGGTTTGCTTCTGTAAAACGGGTATGTCATCGTCTTCGGACGGCTCATCCTCAACTGGATTCTCGTTGGATGGCTCATCGGCTGGCTTCTTTTCGGCTTGGATTGGCTCTCCAGCTGGTTCATTCTTTTCCACCTCTTTCGCCGTGTCTTTCATCCTGAGAAGTTGATTTTGAGGCAGTGGGGATTCTGGTTCTGGTTTCTGGCTGGTCGCTCCATCATTCGCCAGTGAGAGTTCGGTGGGCAAATTCTGGTCGTCTTTGTGCTCGACATCATTTTCTTGGTGAACGCTTTCGTCATCTTGGCTACTGGCCGTATCGATGGCCTCAGATGACTCAATCGACGACTCGAGGCCATGACCTCCCAGAAGATCGTCGGTGGCGGACGTTCCGTTGGCTTGAGTGCTCCTTGCTGGGAGCTCGCCATCTCTAATGGTCATGTCTACCGAACTGCTGGGCTGACTCTCCTGTGGGTTCGATAAATTGTCTTTAGACAGTCTGCTTCCGACGTGAGCTGGTTCCTGATGTGTGGGCTGGTCTTCAGAGAGATTTATCTCGGGGCTCGGAGTGGTCTCAACGGCGGAGGACTTCTCTTTATGCTCTGGCGTGTTCGTCTGACTGGGCGGCGGTGGAGAGTCCGCCACCAACTCAAAAACGTCTTCCACGTACGTTACGGGCCGTTCGGGTTGCGCATCATCGGCGTATCGTACAGGAAAATGGCCCATGTCAAGATATTCCAAGAGCGTCTGGGGAGTACCTCTTTGGTGGACTGTGGGGAGCTCTATGACGCGTCTCTTGCCGAGGAATCTACCCTTGCTAGCTGGCATTACTTTACTGTCTTCTGCAGCTTTCTGCTTGGGTTCCGTTTCGTTTCCATTGGTAGCTTCCAGGGCCTCTGGCTTATGGTTACCGCATTTTGTATTGTCTTCGTCACCTTGTCTAGGTTTCTGCTCGTCGGTTTTCTTTTCGTCTTTATTGCCTTCTGAGGCTTTCTGCTTGTCTGTGTCGGGTTTCATGACGGGCCTACCATGCTCGCTGACGGGCGAATCGTTCTTGTCGTTCTCGGAGGCGACCATTCTCCTCTGAAGGCCAGCTTGACTCTGAAGGTTAACTCTCTCAAGGTTAGCAATCATGTCAAACAAGCTGTCGATCGAGTCGTCGAGATCCGACCATCTCTTACCAGTTGGGCCAACGTCGCTGTTGCTGCTGCTAGACTTGTTCTCCATTTTCTCGACCGTGTTGTAGACGAATAAGTACGAAGCGTTAATGGGGTATTGAAAGAAAAAGAATGAAATCCAATATGTGCTATGGGTACGGCTTTGTCGATGGGAATGAGGGATTGTTGAAGTGTGGTGGGTTCCGCAAAGCGAACTGTGTCTTGGGGGTACTGATGTTCCCGGGCACTTTCCTCAACCTCATGGGATGGACGTTGCAGTAGGCATGATGGCCTTCTTCTGCATGTTTTCTACTGTTCCTGCTGCCATTACTGCTGTTTGTTGTCTTGTGGGTTGGTGGTAGGAAGGGTCGGCCCATCTCTCGCACTTTGCGGCCTCATGGCACACGATATCTACGACGGCAGGAGCGAATCTTTCCTGTCAATTGCAGTGAACACCTTCATAACGTCTGACGCTTTTCGTCGAAATTCGAGTTAGTTCTACATGAGTTCCTTCGCTAGGTGTGCAATTTGCATATAATGCCACGTAGACTGGACATCTTACTACATTCCATCTCTCCTACAAGCTGGAAGTTAATGACCGGAGGGACACCGGCGAAAAGTGGAGTAAGCCGGAATACTCAGAACGTCTTCCGATCGTCCGGCCGGTGACTGCAGGCCATGGACAAAACGATGAGATAGATGATCAATTTACTTACAATGCCAGAGTATCACGCTGGAGAATCGAAGCGGGAACATCGAGACTATGCCACTCTGCGATTATGTTATCGGAAGCCATCCATATGTCCTACAACCCATAGGTATGCAAAGAACACAATGTCGCGGCTTGATCTAAGTTGTAAGTCCAGTTAAAATAAGCCTCTTTCCTGCTCGTCAACTTTTCCAGGTGACACGAAATTTCGATGAATGGTTTGCCACATCGCGCCAGAAAAGGACGATGCGGCACCCTGTTGGTGAGGTGGAAACCCGGCAGGCTGCCAGAAAACCCCGCCCAACGACGCTGATTTGCTCCAGCACCTGCATGGTCCTAAGCCTCGAATAGTGCGGCAATGTTGACTGGGTACGGCTCCCGTGTTGTAGAGGTAACATTTCGTTCTTATAATTACGTAACTAATCGTGAGATATGCGACGCCGCGAGTTCGATTCTCGCCGGGAGCATTTTTTGCTTCCGGGTTGTTTTTTTCATCAAGTGTGGGTGGATCTCCAACTTCTTGTCTTAATTGATGATAGATATCTTTTAAAAGTAGATGCATATAATTAATTGGTGCATATATCTTTTGATCAAAGTAGTCTGTGTTAAATGACGCTTCAGAAGAAGGTATCTAGTTCTTTTAGCTAACTTATGCTTGGGTGATGATATGAGGAGAAGGAGGACCTGAGTATGTTACCACCCAACCACCACCACCTTAAAAGTTAGAGACAACAATAAGTAGTAGAGGTCTTCTTGACATTAGACAACTTTCCAATGAACCACTCTTATTGAAATTGACCGGTCCATCATACAGCAGCTCCCCGACCTCAGGCGAGCCGTCCGCTAGATCGGCCGTGCAGAGCATGCAGCAGCGGAACTCAAGCAGCCTTCGCATCCGCCATCAACTCTCATTGCATTGTGATTTATCGCACCGCATGCGCTACCGTCTCGATTTGCATGCAACTAATAAGCAAATCACTTGCCGTTCATATCTTTCATTGGGTATACAATCTCCAAGTTTCATTTAGCAAGCTAGCCAATCATCCTGATAATGAAGCAATGCGGATAGACGTCAACCAAGCAACGCAGATATCAGCTCATCATTCACAATTCACAGTTTGATGCTGTCTAAGCAGCCCTCTTCATCCTTACGGGACATCATTTAGAGAATTGGGAATGACTGAATAGTGAATGTTATCCGTTGAACTTGCCAAACCTCAGACATGGGATGGTGCTCGACTCAACCTGGATACTCATTACTCTAAAGTGATCTAATGCTGTTTGCGTAAGGCCGGAGTAGAGCAATAAGACCAATTGGCATCGCTTGACAGCATTAGAACCCGCTCCGTGCCGTGCGGAAGAGTCTTTGCCGGCCTGGGTCGGATAGAACGATGATACCGGCCTGCGAAGCGTTGGGCATCTCCACAATATCGGATCACGATTTTGGCCTCAGTCTCAGCTGTAGTAATATTGCAACCTTTGCGTTGGATATGTTCACAATGATAGCCTGGATGGATCCTTGACGAAGAATTGAACTTATGAAGGGACGAGAACCGGCTTTCAAGACTGAAGTTCTGGAAATCGGGGTGTGAGGCCACAACCATGCACATCGACCTTGTAGACCTTACAACTTCCCAACCCGTACTAACAGAAACTTGAACTATACCGAACACAGGCCCTTGCCCGGGAAACACACCTCCCAGTGGACTAGCCAGCTTTGTACGTTGTCAACAAAAGATTCAAAACTCGATACCGCACCGAATCAAGCAGCCGTCTTCAAAGAAGACTTTGACACGAGAGACACTCGTCGGCTTTCGGAAAATCCGTAGCCAGCGTCACAGGCACTCGAAGACACCGATACCAAGCAGGAAACGAGGATGCTACATATCGAGCTGGACATCAACGACGACTTCATCTTGACCAATTCTCATCCGTCGGACGACATTGAGCGCTTTCAGAGAGGTGGAGGACTGCCAAGGAGGGCGTCATCATAGCTCCCCAGGCTAAGGTGATGGGTGTTCTGTTAGACGGGCTGGGAATGGTGGATCTGGGACGTGAAGAATACACAGAACCAGAGCAGATCAACGAGGGCATACGACAACAGACGATGATGGTCGATGACAAGTGATAATGGACGATTGCAAACGAGGAACGATAGCAACGGAGTCGAAGACGGAAATAAATGCAGGTATAGTGAGTACTTCTGTAACGAGACAGGAATGCAGAATCGAAGAATCAGTATTATACGAGAGGCGTCGTTATGGGGCGATGAAATACGGTAAAGACGAAACAGTATCTGAGCCTCAAACGACGACGACGATGCTATTCTGATCAACGACTGAGAACGTTCAGGCAGTTGCGTGTTTCTCTGCTAGTTCAATCGCACTGAGAAGTGCTAACTCAAAATGGGTATGAGCGAACAAAACTTGAGGATTCACCAAACACCAGGGAGGAAACCCCGACATGCTTCAGCCGTCGAATAGTTCACAACAACTCCCGATTACCTTCACAACCTATAACTCACAACCCGCTCTCCAATTCAAAGTACAAACCACACCGTTTAGCGCCTCCATCGTTTCCAACTCCCGCCGACGTCTCGCAACAACAGAAATAGGGGGACCTCCCAGTGAAAAGTCTATCCAGGGATAACAGGCCCAGACTCGACGGAAGGTGTTCTGAGTCACGGTCGACGAGTCCCCCAGAAACTCAGATGAGGTGGAGGGAGTCACGGATGGAAGATGGTAGAAGTATTCCGGAGCCGGCGGGGGAAGGAAGGAAGGAAGGCGTTCATCTGCTCCGTGTCCCCCCTCCCCCCCTCTCAAATCGGGCTCTGCCGTCCCCAGCCAGCTAACCCAGTCCATACCAACTCACGCGGAGATCTGGTCCCGGAGTTATATTTCCGTACAGCAGTTCGAGTCTATTTACTCACGTCCTCCCTGTTCTTGGAGCCCAACGGCGCGGCCGGACTTCGCGGCTTTGCTGGGGCTGTCAGGCCGAGCCGTATAGGTAAGGATCGAACTACTCATCATTACAGAAAACACGAGGCTCGGCTCGAACTCCCCTTTCCCTCCCACCTCGGGGGCATCGCTCGACAGACAGCTTTTCCCGAGCGGATCTCGACGCCAGCGGGAATTGCCAAGTAAGCATATCCGGGGGGAGGGGGGAACAAGATAGAAAAACCTCCCCCTCGCTTCGAACTACCGCTCTAGATGTACCCCGGATTTCATTTCTTCTACCCAGGCAGAATCCGGCGTATCACAGCATGGTTCGACAGTCTGAGGAGGGAACATCGATCGCCACGGTGGCGCCATACCCAACCTCCTGACCTCCTTGACAGTAGTAGATATTCTGCCCCGCGGTTACGGCTGGTGCACCCCGATTAAGCCTCATCAAAGCCTTTGAAGCGCCCGACCTACCACCCACACGGGAAACGCTGGGCCCGCTTGCACAGCCTCAATCGAACCGTCATTGAACGTTGACGATGATACCAAAAACCCTACGACGACTAACACCGGACCTTCCCACCGGCCGACCTCCCCGGCGGGGACGCTGCTCATTCATCCGTTCGGTTTTTGGGGGAGGAAGGACGAGTCTAAAAAAATGGTCTCAGATCCGAATCACCTCACTTAGAATTTCGATACGGCCTACATACCAATTCGCATCGTCAATTCCCCCCCAGAATCCCATTCCCCCTTCCCTTTGCGGCGAACAAAAGAGCGCCATCTCCGAAACGAAGGATCTGATTTGACTCAAGCACGTCCCCCCGTTCGTAAAAAACGGAGTCGACTCGTAAAATCGGTGCCTCAATTGGTTCCTCGGTTACTCTGATGTTTTCTTTTTTGGCTTTTGGGGTCCTTGGGTCCTTGGGGTTCTCGAGCTTCGTCCCAAAGGCTTCTTTGTCACGTCCCGCTATGCTGTCAGTGTGAGACGAGGTCGGACGGGAACCACATTTGAGATAATCTTTTCGAGGGAGAGGGAGTTTGCTCCCACATCAGACGGTTTGACATATGACGACGAGAGTTGCCAAAATCATGCCATTTTCCCATAATCGACGAAACAACGTCGCTTTGAATTACTAGGGCCGCGGGCGCCGAAGGAACATGGACCGCCTCACCTGCCGGTCAAGTTGACATGCACAGCCTTGGCGTTGCAATACCCCGCGAGCCCGGCCTCCCCGAGCTCCCTCCCGATCCCGCTCTGCTTCACGCCGCCGAACGGCACCCTGAAATCCGAGTCGTTGCTGCTGTTGACCCACACCATGCCGGCCTCGACGTCCCTCGCGACGCGGTGCGCCCTCGCGAGGTCCCTCGTGAACAGCGCCGCGCCGAGCCCGTACGTCGTGTCGTTCGCCATGGCCAGCGCCTCCTCCTCCGCGCCGAACCTGACGACCGCGGCGCACGGCCCGAAGATCTCCTCCCGGTAGACCGTCATCGAGGTCTCGACGTCCGTGAAGACGGTGGGCTGGACGAAGAAGCCCTTGCCCGAGGCCTGCGGCGCCGGCCGGCCGCCCATGGCGACGGTGGCGCCCTCGTCCCGGGCCGTCTGGACGTATCGCAGGACGTTTTCGTATTGCGCCTTGGTGATCTGCGGGCCCTGGAAGGTGGCCTCCTCGAAGGGGTCCCCGACGACGGAGATGTCGCGCACGGCGGAGGTGAACTTTTCGATGAATGCCTCGTAGACGGCCTCGTGCACGAGGATCCGGGACGTGGCCGTGCAGACCTGTCCCTGATTGCTCATAATCCCTTCGTGAGACCACCTGGCAGCCTGGTCGAGATCGGCGTCCTCGAAGACGATCAGGGGTGATTTCCCGCCGGTCTCGAGGGTGATGTTCTTCAAGTTTCCGGCCGCGAGCTTCATGATTTCCCTTCCCGTAGCCGTGCTCCCCGTGAAAGCAATCTTGTCAACGCCAGCGTGACTCGCGAGAGCGGCTCCAGCGTCACGACCGTACCCGTTGATGACGTTGACCACGCCCGGAGGAAACCCAGCCTCCTTGACCAGCTTGGCGACGTACAACATCGACAACGGCGTCTGCTCCGCCAGCTTCAGCACGACGGTATTTCCACACGCCAGCGCGGGTCCCAGCTTCCACGCGGCCATGTCGAGGGGGTAGTTCCACGGGATGATCTGGCCGCACACGCCCAGGGGCTCCTTGATCGTGTAGGCCAGCTTGTCCGGCCCGACGTCCATCGTCTGGCCGTGCAGCTTGTCGGCCCAGCCGGCGTAGTAGCGGATGACCTCGGAGAAGTGCGGGACGTCGACGTCGCGGCACACCGAGTACGGCTTCCCGTTGTCGAGGGTCTCGATGGTGGCCAGGGTCTCCAGGTTCGCGTCGACCATGTCGGCGAGCCTCATCATCATGTAGCCGCGCTCCGTCCCGGAGATCCGCCTCCAGGAGGGGTGCACGAACGCCGCGCGGGCCGCCGCGACGGCCTTGTCGACGTCCGCGGCAGACGCGGCATACACGTCGCAGATGTCCTCCTCGTTGCTTTTGTCACCATCATCATCAGCCGCCGTATCCGGATAAACCAACCAAAAAGGAGCACTCACGAGGGATTGACGGTGACCAGAGTTCTCCCGTCGGCACTCTCGACAAAGTCGTTCCCGATGAACAGCCCCCTGGGCTGGGACCACGATCTGCCGTTGGGCGCGGTGAGGACCGTCGCGGTGCTCGTCGCAGCCGACGTCGAAAACGAGGCTGTGGCTCGCTGGACGCACGCCCGCGGGGCGAGTGGAATCGGCCGGCGCCGACTCGGTGCGTGGGACACCCCGGAAAAGGAGGACGAGGCCAGACGGCGGGCCAAGTCGGAAAGGACGGAGCGCGTGGGAGTGGGCATGGTTCGCGAGAACGAGAGGGGACGACGCGGATGCGGATGCACACGCAGGCGCGCGATAGTCGGTGAGGTCATCCCGCTGCTGCCGACCCTTTTTTTTTTTTTCACCTTCAATCCTTCTCCGGATCCCCCTGGTTAGTAAGTCGAGGAGGTTTGAAGTGAGGTGGGAGGTAATAGGGCAAGGCGAGGTACGGTGACAGCGCATGTGCTCCGCAAAGGAGGGGGAGGGGGAGGGCGGGGGAGCTCACAGCTGCTCCAAGTGTGAGATTCCCGAGTGCCCCGATCGTACCTGATATCACGTCCCACCATTTTCCCGAATAGGACAACTCATCCACCCACGGCCACGGCTTCGGCCGCGGCTCCGGGATTTAATCGGGTCGCGTGAATGGTCGCCGGAACTGCTCGTCAAACTGCAGCGCCGAGATGCGCTGCATCATGTATGTACAATCAGGGACAGGCTATAAAAAACACACACACAATATGCATGTTCGGCCCCGTACAATACACACGCATCAAGGGCGTCTCGGAGAATAAGGGGGGCGTGTGCCATTTCCGACTGCGCTGATCCGAAAAGCACACGAAGAAGAAAGAATCACACAAGACCCGAATAGGACGAGGACGGGTTCGGAACCGGTACAAAGCGAGGGACGTGCTCCAGTCAGGACGATGTACCTCTACCTCCCTACCTCACGACATCGAGGCCGTCGGAGAAGGGGGGACCCCTCGAGACCTCACGAAGTCAGTCAACGAACGCGACCGGCCGAGCAGAGCCAGACAGGCAACACCGTTGGTGTGAAGAATGAAAAAAAGGCCAAGGAAAAAAAAATCTCATCAGCTGAAAAATCTTTAGTGTGCGGTGGTCGCGTGCCCGGCGGGAAGATTTTACCAGACATCCCGACCAGGCCTCCAACCTCACACATCCTAGCAACAAGGGAAAAAAAACACCAAAAAAACAACGACAACGAGAGACTACGCTTAAAACTTGGCGCGCCACACATCGTCAACGGGCCGACAACACGGAGGCAAGTTCGCGATCGCGAGCGCTTCCCAGCGCCGCGAGGTGCCGAACGCCAAGGCCTGAGGCTGGCGATGCGCGAAGAGACAACAGGCCGTCTCATCGTCAGCGACTTCTTCTCCAAATTACCCCCTGCAAGTCTAATTAATAATCTATTTTTTTTTTTTCTGTCATTGTCTGCCTCGTCTCGTATTTCAGCTTCGCGCAAGAAGACAGCGTACCACATACCTTCGGTTTCGCTGATTTCAGCCCTGCAACAACCTCTCCCAATCGCATTCCATCTCGTCCCCCAAGAAAACAAAAAAGATTTGATAAAGACGACAATATCAAATTCTTCGTAATGCTAAATGCCCCCTCAAAAACTGCCGTGATAAACAGCCAGGGGCCAAGAAAGTCAACGACACGCAGGGCTAGGAATAGCATCAACGTCCGGACCAATAACAAACTCAATGAATTGCAAATCACATCATGTCTCGTGCAGAGAGGTGCCGGCGACCGTTCGTGCCTGGCCGGCGATGAGAAGAAGGACGAACGTTTCCCACATCACACCACCGCCCGTGCTCTCTCGTCGTTGCGAGCGCCTGCAGGCATGGTGCAACCACAGTCCGTGATCACTTATGATGGGCAGAAAAAGCTTCCAGAAGTGCCGTTGCAACTTTTTTCTGTCCTTTCCAAATAAATATAACAATTGGAGAGTCGACGAGGCACAGGGCAGACAGACGACGATGGCCGAGCGGGGGAGTAGGAGGAGTATGCAGCAAAGAAATTTGGAGAAGAGCACAGAGACCCAGACCATGCAAAGAAAAGATGAAAACGTCAACGTCGCCGGGGACGCAAGGGGAAGTCGTGCTCGAAACCGAACCGCCCGTACCCTTGTCGGGAAGCCCTCCCGCGCGTTGTGTCACGTCCTCTCCATGTCATGAATGCAATGCGCGCGCTCGGAGATTCAGCTGCACAGTTCAAGGGTTTTCGCCGATTTCGAGCTGATTTCGATCAGAAGAACGCCTGTTGTTCCCAAATCGGGCAAAAAGAAGTGCCGCATGTTTCTGTTCCAACTCTGTTTGGGTCTCGATACGGAATCACTTAACTAAAATGTCGTGCTTTATGCATCAAAACGTCTCCGTCCCTAGGGCGCGGTCCGTCGCCCGCCGCCGAACTTCACATCACAGTTTCCAGGTAGTGTTTCCCAGTAAAGTGGACCCCCGCCCGGCAGATGACGGCGAACATGTGGATACCCCAGGTACCTAAAGGCCCCGCTGGGAAGTGGGGGTGTGCCGCATTTCCCGCTTCCCGCGTCCCCGATTCCCCGTTTCCCGTCACCTCCTCCTGCGTCTGCGCGAGAAATGTTGTTTTCCTTTCCATCACCACTTTCTTGCATGCTGGACAACAATCCGTCTTCCGTCATGAACCCCGGAAATGTGTTAAAGCCTCCGGCGCCTAACCTACTCCCACTAGCTGCCGTTCGACTCGGTCAGGGTCAGGCACTCAACTCCACACACACGCGCGGAAAGCACCGAAAAGCCGGTACGTACCGGAAGCTCGGTGAGGTCATTTCCTGATTGGGTATCGAGCTATCAACGGGGCGAACGGCGCACTTTGCGCTCAGTTTGCGCCAAAGGGAAGAAGCACGAAAAAGAAGAAGCGCCCGACAGGAACCAGGCCGCTCAGACCTCTCTCTCTGGATGGAATGAATGAAGTCTATGGATACATACACCCCTCTTACAGTCTGTTTTTCTTTTTACCACCATCTAGAGGGGGGAAAAAGCTCGCACAATTCGGGAAGCGGACGTCGGCGTGCTGCGTCGGTGGGCCACGGTGACTTTCTTGGTGAAGCCCTATTCCATCAGTTTTTTAGTTAGATTACTTCGTTCCCGTTAATGATGGTTAATGGTGGTGGTGGTGGTGGTGGTGGTGGTGCATGACGTGGCTGAACCCCGATTACAACGGTACCGGCATCATCTCACTCACTCACTCCCCCATCTCGCCGCCCTCCTGTCAGCTACTCCATCGTAGAGTAGGGTAACGTCAGGAACACGTTGAATTGCCTAGTCGGGGCAACCAGAAGGGCCGGCCGGCCTGACTGGGGGCCCAAACGACAGGTCGATCATGACAGGCGCCGTCGATGGACGGATGGACGGATGACTTGCATCTGTGGCATAAGCTGACTTGTCGTCGCCCGCCTCATCAGCCCGGGTTGACCTACTGCGACGCTCACAACATCCATCCATCCATCCAACCCAGCACCGCCTTGCCTCTCTCTCTCTCTTTTCTTTTCTACTGTCCCTGATCGAGTTTGGTCTATCAACACACCCTCCCTCACTCCGCGCGTATGCCTCATCGTGCCAACCAAACACCCCCACGCCCTCGAGTCGAGGAGGCTGTGTCCATTGTCTTTTTCTCGTCATCGGGTTTCCTAACCATCAACCCCCAGGGATCGTGCTCGCACTTCGAGTCAACTCAATCGTCAATTTGTTTGGTAGAGGTTGCTTTGCTTATTTGGGATCTAATACACACACACACACGACTGTTCTAGTACTGTTTGAACCTAGCACAGGTACGCCAGTCAACCACTCCTGGTTTTCCGCTCCGTCCTCCAAAATGGATTGGCCCTTGGCCGCAAAACAAATGTGACAAAACGTACAATATAGAAACATCCACCACAATCAAATAGGTATCCGCCAGAAAACGGTATCTAAAAGATGGCACGTAGACTCCGCCATAAGGGAAAACAAAACGCATAGTTTGTTGGCCGCCCTGGAAAGCATAAAAGAGAAGAAAAACACCCGAAACACCAACAAAAAACAATCGCCCTTGAAGGCCTGTTGCACATGCTCTTTGAGAACAACAAATCGATTCTTTTGGACCGAGTCCTTTGTTTTTCTGTCCTGATGAACCCTTTCTCTTCCTCTCTCTCCCTCTTTCTCTTCCCCAACGGCCAACTCCTTAACAAACTTTCCGCGTCGGTCGCCCAACTATGCGAGTCTTTTTGGCAAAAAATAACCCAATTCCATTTTGAAGCCGCCCCTCCTATTATAAATTTCTGTAGCCAAAATGCGATACGAGCGAGTCGAAGCAGCGAAAGCGAATTGGGTATAAACGAACGAGTGTCGAAAAAATAGAAAAAGTCAATCAAAACCTCGGGCTTTCAACAAAGTTGCCTTGTTTTCTGTCGTAATGATTCTCACCGCTGGCCCTGGTCATGCGGATGATGGCCGTGGGGAGGTGATGGGCCGGAGGGCCTGCTTGCGAACCCCGTCTCGTGGGGCACGCGTGTGTAGCTCGGGTACATCGGACCGCCGGGGGTCGTGACCATTCCCCCCAGGTCCGGGCCGGGGCCTCCGAAGGGACCTTCCATGGCCCGGAGAGGAGGCAGTCTCTCGCCCCCAGGGGTCGTCGAGGGTGGGCGCTGCATCATGCCGTACGCGCCGGCCTGCATGGGCGGCAGGTTGCCGGGCTGCGGGACGGGAGTGCCGTACGACGGAACGGAGAACTCGGGGGTCGGGGCCGAATCGGTTCTTCGTCGTCGTGTCGGTCTCTCGACGGACGACTCGCTCGAGGCGTAGCCCTGCTGTTGATGATGTGGCGGTAGGATAGGCGCCTGAGTCATGGGACTCGTCTCCGCCATCGAACCTCCGCTCCTCGAAGAAGTCGGGCTCGGAGGCCCGTTCGCCATTTCGCTGAGCGGTGTCCGGAGGACCACCTCACGCAGCCGGTTCCGCTCGTCTCTGTAAAAGTCCCTCTCTTGCGCCAAATCCCGCATGCGAGACTCCAGCTCCCGGTTCCTCTGCTCCAGCTTCTGCATGCTCGCGATCTGTTCCTGATCTCTCTCCTTCTTTCTCTGTCTGAACCTGGCAGACGCGCCGGCGTTGCGTTGCCGCTTCTCGTCCGCCTGTTTCGATGCCTGATGAACATCAACGGGAACCACCATGCCGCTGTCTCCGCCGATTCTGAACATTATTCCACCCTCCATCACAGCCTTGGCCGACTCGGATCGCAGGCTCTGGTACAATGCCGTACCACTGCCCGGTGCAGACCATACGGGGCCCGGAGGAGAGACCTGTTGAGAGTAACCGGGTCCAGGAGGTACCATGCCTTGTTGGACTTGATACTCCGGTGCTCTTGGGTCTCGCGGCATCGGAGGAAGCTGAGGCCGATCGGGTGGCGGTACCTGCCCGATCATCGGCTGGGACATGGCTCGCGGAGGCGTCGTCATTGGTGCCATTGTGGACGGAGGTCCAAGGGATGGAGGCCCTGAGAAGGGGAGGCCTGGCGCGGGACGGACGGACTCGTGCGGAGCGTCGTCGGCTTGGTACGGTCGTTTCGCTCGCGGTGCCGCCGGAGGCAGAAAAGGGGTTTGCTGGGACTCTGGGCCCTTGATCGCCGCCTGACCCACGCTGGCTGCCCGTGTCTCTCGGGGGCTGAGAGCCTGCCTGCTCATCGCTGGGAAGGGAAAACCACCCTTGGGTGAGCTCTCTGATGGTGTCAGGCCCAGAGGCGTCGTAGCTGGGTGGCCAGCTGGTGTGACTGGTTGTGATCCAAGAGGACCGGGAAACGAGAACGGGCGGTCGCCGGGAGTGCCATACTGCCTCGGAGGCATGCCATAGGGCGAACTCTGAGGATCAATGGGTCGAGGCTGCGGTGTCTCGCTCGGGCGGCCTTCAGATTGTGCCTCTGACGGGTTGATCAAGCCTCGGATTCCCAGGGATCGCGGAGGATACGGCTCTCTAGCAGCGACATCTTGAGGCCGGCCAGGAGGAGGGTATTGCTGGAACGGAGCGCGAGGGGGCGACTGCGATGGAGGTCGAGACGTAGGAGCAGGTCCCCTCTGTGACATCGAGACCTGGTCCCCTACACGCTCCTGGCCTTGAGGGCCCGGACATTGACCGCCCTGATCAGTGCTAGAAGCCAAACAAGGATCCGGATTCGGTGCTGGTGCTGGCTGCTTGGACGAGTGTCCGTTTTCGAAACCAGAATATCGGGACGCAGTTGACGGGCTCGCTTGCGTGGTGTCGCCCTCTTTAGCCTCGCGGCTACGTTGAGGATGTTGTCCAAAAGACCGGACAACTGCTGAGACCGCCAGGTTGTCGACTGTGGGTGGGACTAACTGGGTCGAAGCCAACAGTCCCGGAAATGCTAGAAGTCGGTGGTGGAAGGGAGAGGGATGGGTTAGAAGGCTCCGAGGACGGCAAAAAAAGCCGTTGAACTGTTGTAGACTTCTAATCTGAGCAGAAGACGTAAAGGTGCAAAGCGTCTTTGATAGGTAGTAACGAGCTAGATAACTAGCGTCCGCGGTAGATGCAGTCAAGCAGTCTTGACTCTTCCAGAGGTGATGGAAGGGAGTTCGTTGCGTCGAAAGCGGACTACTCCAAGGGGTGTTGATGGATAGTAATTAAACAAGTCCGAGGCGGCCACGAGGATGGGATGTCGGAGGCTGGCAGAGCTAATGGGTAAGGATTAGACGCGGTGACAGGCAGGATGCAGCCGAACGGACCACTCATGACTCTGGGAAGGAATCCTAGACCATGAATGGCCAAAAGAGAAGCTTACGCACTGGATGGTGGCTGGATCTACCAACTTGGGTGAACCGGGCGAGGCAATGTGGCCGTGTCGACGACTTGTAGGAAATTGCGTCCTTCGAGGTTGGCGTAGTCAAGATATGAAGAGTCCGCAAAGATGAAAGTACCGGAGCCGGGGCGTTCGTTATGCTGGTGGGCTCGTATGTGGAGGAATCGAGTAGAGAAGCAGTTGACTCAAAACCTTGACAGGATGGTTTGACTGGTGAAGGTATCGGGTTGGAATAAGAAAGTATGATGGACGAGAATCGTCAGGAAGCTCGCAGGTCTGATGCTCCAACGTAACCGTTGTTCATTACACGACGACAACTATTAGACAAGGTCGGGAGGAGCCAGGTCTATTTGATTTTTTTCCAGTCCCAGCCCTAGCGTAGTTCTCCCATGGCGGCATAGCGTTCTTATCGAGCCCTGGCAAGTAGTTGCCGGGGAGCTTAAGGTGCATGGGGGTGTGGTGGAGGAGGAGGAGGATGAACGGCGACTGGGATACGGTGACAAGGTGAAGCTGCTGCTGGTGTTGGGTTGCGGTGGACGTGTGCTCAACTGGCCGGGGTGCATGGGAAGCATGGGAAGGGAAGGGAATGGGAACACCGGGGGGTGACTCCATCTCGGCGCCATAAGGTGCTCAGACATTGACAGGGCTTAGTCGACCGGTGGCTCTTCTTTCGGGACCAGAGGGAAGTACATGTACAAGTCCCCTGCTGACACGATGGTACCGAGTTGTGTGTGTGTGTGTGTGTGTTTTGCTGTCTGTTCTTTTGCCTGCTGGCTGCTGGCTGCTGCTGCTGCTGCGTCTTGTGTCTTGTGCCTTGGCTGTGACTGGAGGTGGGAGAGCTTGGGAAGTTTGCCTTTTCGTTTTTATTTTTTTGCTTCTTTGTGACAGGCCATGCAGAGACGCTTTTTCATCCAGGAAGGCTAGCCATGCTAGCTGCTGCACTGAAGCAAAAAGGTTCTGACTGACGAGCCCGTCCGGAACGCCAGGGAAACAAGACTGGGATATACCTGGGTGGTTTCTCCTCGGTTCAACCCAGCAATGACGGACAGAAGCGACGGATGCTTCGCAGCTACTACCGTCGTCCGTCTAAAATGGCACAGCCCAGACGCTTGAATGGCCGCAGTAAGGCTGCTCGGCCGAGACTGAACCGGCGGGCGGGCTGTTGCTGGTGTGCTCTCTTGCTGGTGGCTGTCATTACCACGGGCACAACGAGATGACGATGCGCTCCGCAACCGTTATTGCTTTTAGGGCAGCTCCGTCGCAAGCAAGGATGGGGCCAGTTCAGGCGCTCCACGATATACTACCACCTTGCGTGCCTTATTTCGCACAGATGGGCTCCCGCCTTGGGTGTGTATGAACTGTTACCCGTTACTGCGGGCAAGCGGTCAGCAGTAGTCAGATATGTCTGAATTGAGAAGAGAAAGACCGTCATGGCCCTCCCGAAAGGGGACCCGTCCTGCATGCGCATGCTGCAGGCGCAGGCGCAAAGACTCGGGGAGCTCTCTCTCAACACCGCTTTTCTGACCTGACCGACTTTGGGGGTGAGGAAGAAACGCGGGATGTTAGGCAAGGCAAGGCAAAGGCAGGGCAGGGCAGGCCGCAGCTCAGTTTCTCCCTCATCTCGGTCGGTGGAGTATGGGAGGGGAAGAAAAAACAAATCGGCCGGGATTCGGGGGTCCCTGCGCGCGTCCCCGGGGGAAGAAGCCAGAGACGTCGAATGGGGTTGAAGACGACGTCCTTGGACCAGGCTCATGGAAGCTACCTGGACGCTAGGCGATGAGCCGACTAGCGTGGTTCGTCAAACAAGGAGACGACGAGAGAGAGAGGTGTGTGATCGAAGGGTCGGTCAGGTACATGTCGAGGGTGAGGGTTGCCGGCCATTGACTTGTACTTCCCATTGGTGTGGACGAAGGAGTGTGATGGTGGTGGTCATGGTTGTTTGTGGTGGTGGTGGTTGTATTCTAAACATGTTGATTGACCAGGTCGACGGATCCCAGCCAGAAGACTTTTCGTCCCAAAGAGCCCGCCTGCCCGCTGCGGGCAGGATCCAACGCCGTGTCGTGAGAATGACTTGATCGCCATTGCGGCGCACATCCAAGTCTGTCTCGGCGGCAGCCTGCCAGGCCCAATGTGTAGTGTGGCACGGCACCCAGTCGCGTCCATTGTTTAATACCAGGGGTCCAGTCTGTTCGTCAGCTTCGAAAAGAAACAGAGAGGCAAAGGACCAGATGTCTGGCGAGGAAACCCCAGCATTGTCTACTTACTTTTAGCCTTTGTCATACGGATGTCGATTGGCAACTTGTCGGGCGGACATCGAATCGGAAAGCCGGAAGTTGTGAAAAGACCACATCTTGTCCATTGTGTGCAGCAGCGACAGCGGCGGCGGCGGCGGCGACGGCAGCCACCTCGATTCCATCTGAATAACGGTGACGACTGGGAAGCCCGTCCGTGTCCGCGGCTGGGTCTGGGGGCGGAATATTTCTGCCCCTGGTTCGCATCACCGACCTGTAGAGGTAGATCCGGAAAATCGCAAACTCTGGGAAAGGAGCTCGTAAGTCGTGATTGTCATGTTGGACCATCATCCGGTGGGCATAAATTGCATCATCGTGAAGCTCGGTTGATTGAGATGACGAAAATGGAGAGCAAGGGGGCTTTGTGATCTCTGCATAACCCCAAAAAGACCGCGGACGAGAAGAGCCTCGCAAACCCAAGCCTAACAGAACTTGGTAATCGGTCAAGATGCGATCCACAAGGAGCCCACGGCCACTGAGTGTGTTGGGAGAGCAATCCAACCACAGAGCAGGACCTGGTGGTTGGTACGAATAGCCCGAGGGAATCTTGTGCTTGTGGTAAGGTATTGGCGAGATGGTTGGAGGCCGGGGTTGATGCGCAACATAGGCAAGATGGAGCCAAGCCGCCGTCGGTAGCAGGAAAGTAAATGTGGTTTGCCGGGTTGATGGTTGCTGTTGCTCGCGAAGGACATGAGCATGACGGTGATGGGCAGATGAGAGGCACATCGAAGTGAATTCATACCATGGCATGGCTTGGTAATTAACCCGGATGAGGAAAGAGAATGGAACCAGAGCAGCAGCTAAGCAACAAGAAACGATGGCGGAGCTTGACGGGGAGCTGGTACTTAGCAGACGGGACATCTTTCTTGGGAAACACAAAGTACTCAACCACATTATCGGTCCGCACAAATACATGTCGACTCGCGCTCGACAAGTATCTCGACATAGCCATCCGGTCGGCATGTTTCTAGGAGCTACAGGGGAGCCCAGGGACAGTGCCAGGGACTTGGTGCTCGCCTCCGTCGGGTCCAGATTGCGGTCTTCAGTGGTGACTGCCTCCTGTTTTACTCTTCTCACCTTGGCCTCACCTGGAGGTCAAAATCAAGGTATGTCATGACTTGGGTTGTGGGAATTAGCCCGAGTTGCACGACAGATCACTACTCCATTCCCATCTGCGACACAACACCAATAGCATGCAGCCCTCCGACCTATCTTGAGTTGGCAAGGCAGTCTCTCGCGGATCACGGACGGCGGACGTAAGATCTGGAGCATAAGGATGAGGAGGGGCATATGAAGATTGAATGGAGGGGGGACCAACATGGCACAAACTGACCGAGTTACAAATACACTTGCGGACATCCTAATTCATAACATCAACTTCAGGCAAATTCGTCGTCGTCGTCAATTGGACCCCTACCTTCCGACGGTTTGGGCACGCACGCACGCACACACGCGTGACGTTCTGCCCTCCACAACTTGACTTCCACTCAGACGAAGGCGATTCAGGTATTTTTAAGATCCCCTGCTTACATCTCAGCCTCCCTTGCCCGTAAGGTTCCTATGGGAAGAAAGCAAGTGCCGCGGGCAAAGAAGTTTATTTGATGACGGAATTAGAAAGGGACCGCCGGGTCAAGGCGCAACTGTCTTGTTGATGACGGAACCGGGGGAGGGGAGGGAAGGGAAGGCAAGATGAAGGGGGACAGGATCGGAGCAAGAGGGGAGTTTGAACATGCTTTAAGAGTCTACTGAAGTGTGTCCCAAGTTAATACAACAACGGATGAAGGCTGAGCAAGTGCCGTTCATCGCCAGTGCCAATTTGCCTTTTTTATGATTCTTTCCGCGCTCCTCTATCTCATTCTGTCTCTCTGCCGCCGGACCATCGTCCGTCTCGTCTCTTGGCTCCGCCGTCCGCTCTGCTTTTTTTGTCTTTTCCTTCGTCCCAGAATCCCACCAAGAGCCGGCACCACGAACCTTCATCACAAAGCACACACTCTATCTCAATCTTCAAGTCACCTTACCTTTGGAGCCTCCGACCAACCTCATGGACGCTCTCCCGAACTTGGAAAGGGTATTCCATGCATTCATTAGACTTAAGCTACTCCGGACCACTCCCATCGTACCGGGGGTAAGGTAAGGTCAGGCACACATCGCCCTACAACATCCATCACACATCGCAGACAAACTCCAGTCAGCCATTTGTCGTGGCGCCGCCTCCTCTACCGCG